GTGTTGGGTGGGAATAAAAAAATTCGGAGATCAATGTTACAGGGCTGGGTAAAGATAACCCAGGGTTACTGTAAAATCTGATTTCAGATCTGGAAGCTTTAAAAGAAAATTCATTTTTATTCATTCTTTTTGTCATTGGATGCTCTAAGAGGAATAGGGAAAAATTAATTATACCAAAAAGATTCTTGAGTATAGAAATAAAGAAACCTGGATTCAAATTCAACCCTGGGTTAGTGCAAAGAAAACAATATATGCATAGCTACTGTAACCCTTTTATCTTTTTTGTACCTCATCTTTAACTTCTGAATGATCACAGTTGATAGGTTCACTCTACATTTAGGTAGAAGAAAAAATTTAATATTAATTACATTTTCATGAGCACATAATTACGGTGACAGGTGATAAAGATACATGCAGAAATCAGGCACAACATGAAAGAATCTATTTACTGGAAGCTTTTATGGGTGTGTAAAAGAGCAAAGAATGTTGCTTCTGTATCAATATGCCATAATGATTTTAAAGTAAAAGAAAATTGTTGGCTTGTACATGTATATGATACAAGTAGGGTAAATTTAAAGAAATTGGGCATTTTGAGACCTTGCTTAAAAGCTAGGACATTTAACAATTATTCCCTGAAGGTGAGGTGAATATTGTTGAATAATTATTCGACAATATTCACCGAGTAGTATAATTTCAGAGCTGAACAACAGAGAAATTTCTAAAATCATAACATTTTAGTAACATTTATTAACATTTTAGTTTAACATTCTATATAAACTGCACGGAGCGGTTTATATAGCGTCATATAAGGAACCGCTCGACCAATCAGATCGCTGGAAACTCTTTGTTCAGCTCTGAAATTATTATACTAAATTATGACAGCATCAGACACATGTAGCAGCAGTAAAAAAAAAAAAACAACAACAACAAGTCAGCAATGACATAAGGCAAGGCTGTGCTCTAAGGAAAATAGAATGGAACCCAGTGCTCTGAAACCGTGAAATCCAGGATGCCCAGCATAATGCTTTGTATGAAAAAACTAAAATTTCTGAGTCACCCAAAAGTAAAAGTAAGGCGCCAGGGGCCCCGGGTGCTGCTAGAGCACAGCCTTGTTGGCTCAATTGTTTAAAGGGTGAATAATGTTACTAGATGGATAAATTGCTATCCAGTGCACGAGTAATAACAAAATATGCCATGCTACCAACCAGATAGAGGATGATCTAATAGATACGGCCCTATCCACACGACAAACAACTGGCATGGGGCAGCAAGATATTTATAAGAACATAAAGCTACATACATGTATCGTGCATTAATTAAATTGGCAAAGCACAGAAAGTTACCTGAGAGTGTTTTGACTTCAAATGATATGTCAGCCCTGGGTAGGACATGTATTGTTTTCCACAAATCTCACAAGGAAACTTTTCTCTTTCCTCCTCTTTTATTCCACATATTTTCATGTGACATTGGTATCCCAGGGCAGTTGTGAACTTTGCTCTGCAACCTTGGTTTGTGCAAATTAAGGACTGTCCTGATTTCATTAGTCTTTTCAGTTGTGTGATCTGAAATAAAAAATGAATATTAAATCATACAGCTAGCCAACTTAATTCAACCATGTGATAACTTAATCAAAATTATGTGAGTGTGTTTCATATATCATGCAGCCACTATGAATGCCACCATGAATACCAACCTACAAAGAAAAAAAAACAACAACAAAAAACAAGTAAAGATTCATCAGAATGAATCATGCATGCTCAGTGATAAAGATCAGAGATGAATAGACATTATTATTATAAACATTCTAGTGCTTCCCATTTGCAATGCTGAAAATTCTGAAGTTAATAAAATCATGATGTATCTTTAAGGAGTGAATTATACAGTAAGTATAGGATTCACATTCAAAATCACATATACCTGAATTCTTTGTTTTTCTATATAAGACCTTATTTTTGGATCATTATTTATTGTATTATAAACAGCTAGCTCCTATTCACACAATTCTGCATCATGACGTGTTTATAACAGCAAACATACCTCGGTCACTCCCTTCTGTTGGAATGAAATTAAAAACAAAACTGTCAACTCATGATCCTCATTTATAATTTTATAACCATGACCTAGCTGATACGACCATTAGTATTTCATCAAACAATGGCTTTATAAAGGCACTGTCTTTCGTCCAATCTAAAGACAAGAACTGTGAAAAATTGTCTTGCCTAGTAAGTTTTTTTTTTGGCTGCAAGCAGAATCTCTTAAGTCAAAAAATGGATGGTTTGTAGCACACAAAATGAAATGAGAAATTCATTTTCATCAAGTGCCTCAGAGTGACAAATTTGAAAAATAGAAATGTAAACAAAAGTAATATTGTTGAGGCTGGCACAGCAATCAATGTGTTTAGCTAGAAAATTTATTGAATTATCGACTGAAATCAATGGTTGTAAACAGTCACAAAACAGGTTACAAAACAGTGAAAAATTCTGTGTGAACCAAACAAAAAGGGGGGGACTTCACAAACAATGAGGGCACACCGGCAAACACGTGTAAGAAAAACTGAATCTTTAAAATCACTTGACCAAGAAGTGTGCTATTAGGTACGGGTCATGAGGCATAATGCAAAGGAGATAAGAAAAAAAAATTAAATAAATACAACAAATGAATATAAAGAAAACAAAGAAAAAACATCACATCCTATTTTTTGATGAAAAAATATTAAGTTTTTTTGATGTATGTAAAAATAAATTGTAATAGTACCATAAATAGGAAAGGGAGGTTATTTAATATCACACTACTAGTGAAACACGTCTTAGTCATGAATGTACCAATTCAATCTGGTTGTTATGGTAAATTCTTTAAGAAGAGAGAATTAATTTAAGTACCTTTGATGATCTGCCCCTTTTTCCTGGCTTTGCAACAGCCTTTCTGTTAACTACCGAGAAATATCAAATTGAAAATAACCATGAATGAGAACAACACCCAGACAATTAGGAAGGTCACTCTTTAACAGTGTGACCATTGAAATTACCTGTGTATGTCACTTGATCGAAACTGAGGGAAACAAGGAATGAAGGAATTCCATCTAAATTCATCACACCACTAATTGCCTGCTTTGGACTGTGTTACCGGAAATTTCTTGGCTTCTGTTATGAACAAATAAAAGCATGACATCTTCATGGTATTTTGCAACAATACAAGCTCGTAATATTTCAAAGTTTTCCAAATAGGTACCACTCACTACTATCTAGTTTGTGGTATTTTGGATAATTTTGAAATATCACTAACACTGTATTATTGCCAAATACCTCTAAATCAGTCATGCCATTACCTATACTTGAATCACTGTACCTGCTGTTTTGACACGTGTAGGCTTCTTTTTTCTACTTTTTTCACCATTTTCAAAGTCATCATCAACATTGTCACCATCCCCATCATCATCATTGTTATGGTCAACACTATCATCAACATCATCATCATCATTAATATTGTCACCATTCTCAACTACAATCTCAACTTCACTAGCAACATCACTTTTATGCACACTGTCCTCTCCACCACTAACACTACCAGCACCACTTTCCACTTTAATATCTCCATCACCATCATCAAATTCACAGCTGGCAGTATCACCTTTGCGCTTCCTACCACGTTTTTTACCAGATACAACGAGAATATTACAGCCTTCAGTAACATTTTCCACTACTAAACTTTTTGGTTTTCTTCCTCTCTTTTTGGGTTTATGATCTGAAACACCAGTTTCACTGTTTTCTTTTCTTTTTAATTGCTTGTTTCCTCTTTTACTTTCTGTTGTATCTTCCTCCTCATAAACAAAAATGTCTTTTCTCGGAGTGCGCACTCTGGTGGAAGTTCTTCTTTCAGTGCCATCAGAATTTTCCGTTTTCTTGGGTATTTCAACTGATGGAGATGATATTTCACCAGCCACCCTCTTTCTCTCTGTCAAATCAGAAGTTGCACTGTTATTGCTCTTGGCTGATGTATCTGTATTTTTCCTCGGCCTACCTCTTTTCTTCTTTACGGTTCCTTCTGATGAGGTGGCATTTCCTTTCATTTCCTTGAAAGTTCTAACATATAAAAATTAATCATTATGTGTAGGAGACATTTACAAAAATTTTCTTGGAATTTTTTATCATTGCTTGTTTGATCAGCTACTGAAATTTTACCTTGAAAAGCTAAAATCTCACGTTTTATTTTGAATGTGGTTATTAAATAAAATTTCTGTGACAAATTGTCAAATAACTAAAAATAATTTCAAAATACAGTGAGAAGGATTATGACGAGGTGTTGAGCTTAGCTTGGTTGTTAAATAAATAAAGATATTCTTGATTCCATCATGAACTACAGAAAAGGGTCAAAGAAATGATTGACTTTTAACCCTATAACTTTAAGAAGAGATTAGCATGTAACTTCTCCCTGTAATATCCTTAAATTATTTTTCAAATAAGTTATGAGAATACTTGTGACAAACTTATCAGTAAACATGATCCAGCTAGCCGAACATAACATTGCTTACTTGGGACTTGTTTGTAGACTTCCACCCTGGTTCCCTGAATGATGATCTAATGCTCTGTGTTCACGCAGGGTAACTCGAGACTGAAAGATTTGATTGCATTGCTCACACTTAAACTTTCTCTCTGAGGCGACCTCTTCGTGGTTGGCTTGTCTAATGTGGTATTTGAGACCCCACAGAGACTTGAAGTCATGATCACAGCCTTCAACAGGACATAAAACCACTCCATTTTTTGACAGTTCCTCTTTTAGTTCATCCAAGTTCAGTTTTATAGGTAGGTCATCTGAGTCTTTGAAGAGTGACATGGCACTCAATTAAACCACTCAGTCTATAAGAAGGGTTGCAGAATAAAGCATTTTCAGCGGGATTGTGTGCCACAAAACCAAAACTGATAAAAGAGGCCAACATCAGTAACAAGGAGCAATTGAGGACTCAGTGTAATATAAAAACTCTGATGAACGGCTAATGCTTGAAACATCAGCTTTTCACTACTGTCTTATGAGTTTCAAGTTTTATTATTGTTATGACAATACTACAAAAAGTATGCACTGCCTGCAGTTAGCAAAGGCTAGTCTAGGCAGGCAGTGTTTAATACGTATATTATAAAATAAATATATCTTATTAACCAAGCGCGAGGGCCGTACTGGGAGAATATTATCAGCCCGAGATCTTGACAGTATGAGCCGAGTGCAGCGAGGTCCATACAAAAAAGAGCGAGGGCTGATATTCTTCCAGTACAGTCCCGAGCAAGCTTGGTTAATAAGAGATTTATTATACGACTGATGTTCAAAGGGACACAAGTGCGGTATCATTCGGGACCATTCAGGACCATTAGGGACAGTGCCCGGTACAATACTGAGAGAATATTGACCGGCAATAGAGCATTTTGATTGGTTGATTTTAGTTATTGGCCCTCTGACTGCCCGAGTCATGTAATAAAAGGATTTACAGAGCAGCTTGTAAGTTCAGCCCTATTTCCTTCTCCATGGAAGGAACACAGACTCCTTTGGACAAAATACAATGACCGCTTATCAAACCTTCAAAGCAATGAGCTTTTTCAAGTGTATCATGCATGCATCAAGAAAGAAGCATGAACTGGTAGCTAGCATGCTGTAATTGCAATCTCAGGGTAATCTGCTTGCTGTTGCACCAAGTTCATCTCTTTCACTCTGTCAGTCATTAGCTGATTTGTCTCCTGTTGGTTAGGGATATCGTTTATAGCACTTCATTTTCATTTTTGCTATTTTCTTCTTCTTTAAATTAACCTTGAAAAGTCCTAATAATATGGTCTAGACTGGTGAATTTTGACACTTTTTGTCCCTTAATTTTGTCCAAAAAGTGAATTTACACTAACTCACGGAATATACCTGAACCTGCCGGTGTATAACTTTGACTGAATTGCAAGATATGCAAAATATTTGTTGTAAAATAAGAATACATAATTTTTATACAATTCGTTTGAATCAATGAACTTCAATTAAAAATGAGCCGTCCACAATATACGATATGTTTGTCAAGTTTTACTAGCAATAACATGGTCCACTTTCGAACTGGATTTAAATTTCTTTGACAACGAGAATTTTTGTGGAAATTTCCATAACTCAGAAAGAGCGGTAAAGCTTCGATTTTAACAGTTTCGGAGTGTACACATGTGCGTATTCAAGTTTTGAAATACATGTTGTTTCAAAAAACTGGAAAGGAGTGACCCTTGAATTTCTTGAACAAATCAAATTAGCTGGAAATAAAATAAAAAAGATAATTAAAAACACAGAATCGCCCCATCAAGTTTGGCCCCAGCGGGTCTCGAACCAGCGACCCCGAAGACCACGCTATCACGAACTCGCTCGCTGAAACGGGTATAGTTTCATCCTTTGCCATCATCCCCAAGAGAAATGTCTTTTCCCTCAGGATGATTGGTAAATATAATAAAAGGGCATTATAGTAGAACATGGGACTCAACTACCAGCAAATTTGAGTAATTATGTTAAAACGTACCTCCAATTTCATCGTTAAGATTTCAGAAGAAGACGCCATTTTGTTTCACTTGTGGCTGATTGATGTCGATTTCTGAGATACTGGAGACGAATAAACTCCAGCTTCCGGTATCTTCCTGTATCTCCACATCCGGTGGGCTATCAAGTATGACAACGAGGCTATAGTAGCTCGGGTTGGTTACCAGGTGAAATATGGCGCCCAAAACAAATGTGCTCACAGTCCGAGATCGGAATGGTGTTCTAATTTACTTCGAGAATTTATGATCACGATCGCAACTTTTGTGTAGTTTACAAAGAAATGGAAGGAATTTATGAAGTTTCGTCTTCAGAGAAAGTCAAATCGCTGGAAGAAGATCTAAAGAAAGAGCTGAAAGAATTACAAAATGAAGTCGAAGAGGGAAACTTTCTAAGCTCGTCTGCAGCGCCGAAGGCATTTGGGTGAGTACTTGTTCATCAGTTCGGTTTATTTAAGCCTTTGTAAAGATAAAATGCTCGTCTTGACTATTTTTCATCTACTTATGTTTGTATTGTTCCATTCGATATCGGTATGTTACTCTAGATCAAGTCGCGATCGTTGAAAGTTTGGATGAAAACGATTCAAGATTACTATTAATATTTATTCAGTATTTCACTGGCTCTGGTGTGTTTTTGTTATCGACGAAACATTAAAAGAAGTAACACTTTCGATTGCCATGCAGAAGTTATGCCGGTATCAACCGGTCAAAGTTGAGTTGTCGACAATACACGATTTAATTGCCAAAGATCTGATGACTCTAAATAATTCAGAGATAAGTAAATAATTAAATTGCATTCTATCAATCGAGAGTGTGATTAATATTTGCTGTTTTATAGACCAGTAACCATAGTTTTTCTTTTTTCAATTTGAATTCTTTAAAGATCTGTTCCCTTACCTAAGGATGTCGATCATTTTAAAAGAGAAAGGAAGCTCGCTATAAACAAAAGTCTTCAGGTACTGTATACATGTCTGTTATTTGTATGACTTTTGGTATGCCACTGCAGCTAATGGTCAATTCGCCACCACAACAAACTCACCACCACAAAACTCACCAGCACTCAAAGTGAAATCGCCACCGGTGGTGATTTGACTTAAATGTTATGTGTTGCCTCTTGTGTGAAACTCACTTCAAATGAAAGCTAAGATGTAGTAGTATATTGCGAATAGGGAAAGGGACTTAATATGTTGTAAGTTTCATGCAATTTCATTCATATCAGCAGAAATCACTTAGTGAAAATCACTTGGCGAATATCACTCTGGTTTCGCTATTCACAAACTGATCATAATCTTTGTGATATAAACATGTTTTATTTCTTTTAATATTCCACTATTGAGACACTACACATAACCTCTTAGTCCCTTCTGAGTCACACCGCCACTGCAACTAATTGGTCATAACTTGTAATGATGCATCCTAGGTTCTCATAATTAATACTCAATAACATATTCTCACGAGTAAAAAACAGTGGCCCAATGGTTACTACTCTGGATTAGAGGAATAAATTCCAGCTTTAGCCAGCAGAGTAACTGACATGATTTGGGCCAGTAAGTGCACAGTATTTTTGCTTAGTGAAAAATGGCCACCATCTTTGATTTTAATGGCAGCAGGAGGGTGGGTAGAGAATAAATTTGTACCGAGAGGGTGATTGAGGGTCAAAAACAAGGAGACGTCAAGGGGCTGAGGTGGCCCCCTCCCCCTGTTGTGAACTCTAACTCTAGATTAAACATGGCCAGTTCAATAAACGAACGCATGCTTCTCAATGCTAACTCACCCCAATAAGACACCTGTACTGCAGGCTAAGTCCAGCTTCAAAACCTGATGGTGTGATTACATTGTGTTCATGGGCAACTCTTTACTCTCACAGTGCCTTTCTGCACCAGGAGTACAAAATAATGGGTACATGTAAGGGGGGTGATTTCCTTGGGATGGTGTGGTATCCCTCCCAGAGAGAAAGAACAGAAAGTGGGAGATTGTCTTATGTCAGGGCAGCTTTGCTTGAGTGCAGGCTATTACATGTTCACACATAATACCCTGATCTTGTGTAGACTATTACTTTAATCAGCAATATGTCTTAGATCTCAATACTTAACATAGAGTTCTTACCCTCTCAGGTAAACATGAGAATGAAATGAAAGATAAATACTTCAAAGAAGGTCTGTTTTTTCGAAAAAGAAATCCTTGTGGCCCTGACCCGATGGGTTCTTATTCAAGATTTTGTAGCACAAAGTGATCAGCAGTGCTGGCCATCCCATACCCCCTATGGATAGAAATCTGACTTTTGTTTTTAGTCCATTGCTGCTTACTCTCTCTCCCCCCCACCCCGACCCCCCACCCTATAGCATTTTGTTAGGTGTTCCTCGCCATTAGCAGGTAACCAGAAATGTATACAACTAATTTTAAGAGGAGCAATGTGAAAATGAGGTGTCTTTCCAATAGCACCAGGCCCCAGGGCTCAAGCAGTGTGAGCTCTGTGTTTAGTCTTGACTCCCACTGACATGTACAGTACTGTCAATCAACTCGTACATGAACTAAAACCTCGCCAAATCTATCATAATGGTGGATTTTGTTCTATAGGTTCGTGAAGCACAGCCTTTGATAATACAATCAGATGTGATGCAGGAGGAGATGAGCAGCTGTTGTCAAGTAGAATATACTGCAAGGAGTATACCACTTTTGCTACATCAGGTCAGCTAAAAGTAAAGAGTCTTCATGGTTCTTTGTGGTTCACTGTATGTCACACAGACATAAAAACTATTTTTGAACTCATACTATGTAAGAATTATGCTTCTGGAACCATTTTGGTTTTTCTGTTTCACAGTTTTTTTTGGACAGAATAGAACACTTGGTTCAGTGCAAACACATGCACATGCTACGCTGGGCTCGTTTCTGTGAGCACACGAAGGCCATAGAAAATCTGTTTCCTGTTTACCAGAAAAGACTCAGGTGAGAATGATGCGCCCACTTATCATTATTACTCACTCATCTGCTGACAATAATTAACAATTATTTGCTGAGGGCGAGGTGAATATCGTCGAACAATCTCAGAGACGAAGTTGAGGGGATTATTTGACAATATTCACTGAACCTGAGGCAAATAATTGTTTTAGTATAATTTCAGAGCTGATCATTACAGAGAAAT